TGTAACTTATGCTTTCATTAAATTTTAATGTACTAGAGTAGATACGAGTAGTTCGCAGTGTTTTTGATCAACTCTTCTCCAGCTTTTGTAAGTGTTTAGATACTTTAAATGACAATATCTTCCAACATAATTACTGGTGTTAATGAACACGTTTATGTCCGGTAACGTTTAAAATTCATGAAACGAATGTTTTCGGCCTCACTCGAGGTCTGCTTCAGGTTAATATTTGTCATGTAATGATTAAACAGCTCTCCTTTAATTAAAATATGAAAAAATCCAGTCATCCATAGTTCAGCATTAATATATTAAAATATTGAAAATTGTTACTGATGATGCATTTTTTCTCATATAAAAATAAGTTTATATTGCTAAAACAACGAGATTGTTCCAAAATTTGTAGAAAAAACTGTTGTAATTGAAGAAAAAAAAATTCCACTTTGAGTATTGAATGATGCTGTAAGAACTGATTGACATTAAACAATTAATTAGAAAACTTGTCTGACAAAAGTAGTAAGTTTAATCTAACTTTCAGTTGTTAAATAATTTAACCATAAACTCTGTGTTGTTAGCAAATGTGATGATGATTATTGTTTGTAACTTATTATTTGTATCAAGCATTTAAGGCAATTGAATCTGTCAAAATTAATAAATGAATGTGTAGAAATTTGTAATAAAATCTGGTATTTAAATTCATAAATTTACATAAAGTACTATGTTTCGTATTTTTTATAAAATAGGAGAATGGAATCAATATCTGCCTGGACTTGAGTAAATTGTTTGATATTGGTTGTATGGCCTATCAAGTTTTCAGTTTTAAACTTCAATTAGAAACTATTATCTAGATACAAAAAGAACTAAATTGTAATGATTGTTTAACACTTATATCATTCTAAGTTCTGTGACCTCACTGATATGGTTATCACATTGTGAAACCCCAAAATGAGGGCATTCCTAATCAACTCTGTGCCCACAATTGAATATGAAGTCCTAAAAAATATTTTTTTTAACTGTAGTAGTTAAAATAATACTTTGTGATGACACTTTATTTTTGGAATCCTTGTAACTTAATAAATAAGCAATTTCATTTAAAAATGTGTTCTGGAATATTAACAAAATGCCTAGTAACAGACAATATGAAAAATAATGACTTAAAGAAAGCAAAGGTCACCCACATTCTTTAGTCACTGTTGAGCTCAGATATATTTTTCACAGGATTTAATTATTTTTAACAATTTACTATTGTGCATCAAGTAGTCCAAACACTTTTTGCATGTAAAATATCTGAAATTAAATTTCAGATATTTTATATTGTATTGTATTACATTTTACATTTACTTGTATTGAAATTGGCCTACTTCATTCATACAAGCACAGTGCCATCTTTAGAACGTGATGGGCCCTGGGCCAGGACCAAGATGGGGCCCCCTTAAGAAAATAGAAACAATAGTATATTACAGATCTAGGTTTTTTTTCTTCATCTACTTTTAGATGGAGAAAATTATCTCCCGTATTTCAGTCATCAGGAAAAGTTATAAAAGATATTTCTAATATTCGATGATCAGCTCGGGCTGGCGCTATTGACTTTTTGTGTGAAGGATATGACAAAATCTTTTAGGTATTAAAAGAAATACCAGAAATTGACACACAATCTAACAATACAAAGTTAGAAGCTAAGTCTCTTATGAAGCACATATCAAAATTTAATAATATTTTCTTGGCTGTCATTTGGCGTGATATTTTAAATCATATACACGAGACAAACAAAACTATAGATAAAGAATCTTCAAATACCGGATTAATATAAAAATATCACTTACTAAAACCAATAACCGGTATTAAATAATCGTAAAATGTACTGCGAACGTTTTCAGTTCTTTCCCTAGGACCTTTCTCAAGCAGCGATTCGTCTTTAGAATAACTATGAACGAAGACCAGTAAATAGCGATATTCGAAAAATTATTCTTTCGAACAACATTTCAAAAGTCAAAATTCAACATTAATGTGAATCACGTGCATTCCCGAATATCGCTATTTACTGGTCTTCGTTCATAGTTATTCTAAAGACGAATCGCTGCTTGAGAAAGGTCCTAGGGAAAGAACCGAAAACGTTTGCAGTACATTTTACGATTATTTAATACCGGTTATTGGTTTTAGTAAGTGATATTTTTACAAACAAAACTTTACAGAAAGAACGTTTAGACTTGAGTGTAGCAGTTTGCCTGCTAAATTCTTTGGAATCATATTTGTCTGAAAAAAGAGAAGATTTTAATGATTTTTTGGAAAAAGCAAAATCTTTCTCAACAATTTCAATTGGTTTTTCAGAACCAAGAATCAGAGAAAGAAGTATAAGATTAACACGTTATGATGGATCGAGAGAAAACACTCAGCATACTTTCGAAGAAAAAATAAAAATTGAAATATTTTTACCAATTATCGACTTTCTTTGTTCAAATTTACGTAAAAGGGTAACTGTTTATGAAAAAATTAATAATGATTTTCAGTTTTTTACTTCACTTCAAAATATGAACAAAGGTGAAAGAAAAGATTCTTGTGAGAACTTCAAAAACTTATGATAAAGATGTTTGTGGCAAAAATTTAGTGAACGAATACATTCATTTTAAACATTATCTAAATGAAGTCGGTAAAGAAAATATGTCGATCTCAGATATGTATTTTTTAATAAAGCAGGATTTGCTATCGTAGTATAAAGATCAGACTTAGAATATTTTTAACTTTAATGATTACAAATTGTTGTGGTGAATGTTCATTTTCTATTTTGAAATTTATAAAAAATGATCATCGTAATACGATGTCTCAATCGAGATTGAATAATCTTTCTATTATGAATATGGAATCGGATATAATTAATAAAGTAAAATGTTGATAAATTAATTATGAATTTCACAGCAGCAAAATGTCTAAGACAAATTTTATAAGTTTGCTTAGTTTTAAGATAATTTTTAACTATGTATAGGAGAAATAAATAGGTTAATTGAAATAAACAAGTTAATTATTTTTTATTTGTAACTTTATTACTTTTGGATTAAGGGGCCCCCTACAGCCTGGGGCCCTGCCCTAAAGATGGCACTGTACAAGCATAGTGAACCAAAAAAACAGTAACCATCAATTTTGTAAAAGAAATTGCTTTAAATATCTGAAATTAAATTTCAGATATTTAAAGCAGTATTTGCTGTAATATTTATAAATGATGATAAATTCTATTTGCAAAAATCTTTGAAAAATAATAATAATAAAACTTATAACAATTTTGTTTTTATCTAAATAGATTATTAAATTCATTCATAAGTAATTACATAAATACTTCATTTTTATATAATTTGAACTGAAAATTATTGTAATTTAATATTTATTGGAAATTCTCTATCAAATGCCAACTCAATATTTATTTAACATTGTGTAAGTGATTGCATAAGTTATATGTCGGATGTTACTTTCTATAATGTGATGATGTAGAATAAATTAATTTACAGCTGGATATTTTAAGGATATTGAGCTGTTTAAACAAAGATGAAAAATTGTTTTTTTAAATGTATTTTAATAAAATAAATTTTAAATGTTTAAATATAAACTCATTTAAATTAAATAATTTTATAAATTTCAATGTAGATTTTTAAAAAAATGTAATTGATTTTAATAGAATTTGTGTGTATTTTATTACAATGTTTATGGTTAATAGCTATGCTTTGGTTTCAAAGTACAGTCTTCCAGAAAGAATTCCATCATTTTAAATTATCATAATCATGTTAATTATTATTGGAGAATATGTCATAATGTACATTAAAACATTGGAAAACTGTCTGAGTTTTATGTTTGCCCATTACAATCTCTCAATGCCTGCATCTCTCACTACTTGTCACACATCCACGCATCCACCGATACTCAAATTCTTTCTATGCTCGCTATGGCTTATCCATTGCCACTCCTCTTATGGCAGTTAAAATTCTATTGCTTCTGCAGATTATTTGCACCGCACGATGCGAGTGATTCCGATTTGAACTGCAGAACACAAAACACCTTCTTTGTTGTGGAATTGCTATTTTTGTTTGCAGTGCTTCCTGAAGGTAGTAGACAACAAGACATTTGAATGCAGATGGAGTACAAAACTCCGACGGTTACTTTATCAATTGGTATATGTTGTGCGCTTATTGAGTAATGATTAACATAATTACAGTAATTCAAAATGGTGGTACTGTATTCAGTTTGAATTTGAATTGATATTTCAAAACATTACAAATGAAGAGCTAAAAGTTAAAAAAATCTATATGAATTTTTCAGTATGATGGAAAAAAGGAGCTTTTCTGGAATTGCCAATATTCTTTTCTAATAAATCACAAAAGAAGAAAATTAATTTCGAATAATCACTACAGAAATTTAATGAGTTGATCTATTTATTCCAATTAAATGGAAATAAATAGGTTGACTCCTTAAGTTTCTATAACAATTGTTTGAATTTAACACGATGGAGTTGATTTCAAGACATACAAAAAAATATATTCAGACAATGTATTAAAAGTTTAAATTGTCTTGTCTCGTCGATCTGTTTTACATATCAAAATATTCAAAGGCAATTATTCTATGCTAATTGCGTGACTGATTTTAAATAATAAAATTTCAATGTAATTAAAATATTTATAAATTCTGCTTTACTTAATTGAAAATAATTTCTTTTACATTATCTTTGTTTTTAGTATTAATTCAGTTAAAATAAATGTCTCTTCGTAAAATCTATTCTCAGATTTATAATTTTGAGTCATTTAAAAGCTAAAAAGAGATTTACTTCAGTTAACTTTGATTTAAATTGATTTTCTTTAAATGTTTTTATTTAGAAAACACTGTTGAATTTAGAAATTTTGTTTAAAATATAATGCTGCTTTTATGACTAAATTGTATAATTTATTTTTGAAATTTTGAGTTGATTTTATATATTTTTGAAAATATAAAATTTTAGTTTGATTAAAATAGTATTTGTCTTCTAAAAGAATTAGGAGAAATGGAAGAAATTCCCAAAACAAGGCACTACGAGGATTTCCACACCATAGATTGGCAGAGAGACATAGCTCAGGATCGAACGAGGCATCGCTACATAATTTCCAAGAAGAAAGATTCCGTATGGGATTGTATCAGAGGATTTCACGATGCCTGGTCGGGTTGGCTGTGTCTGCTCTTAGTTGGAATGACTACAGGTAACCTCATCAGATTATTTTTCTGTTTTATATATATTGATGTTTTCTAATAAAATGTCAAAGTTTTGATTTTAAAGTTGTAAAAAATATATTAAAAATGATCCTGAAGATGGTTTTCACAACAACCCTTTCATGCTAACTGGGAACTGAAACTAATTTGAATGCACCTTTCTGTTATAAGCTAAAGGCAAGCTGGATTATGTGGGACACCTCCTATCGTTGCTTGTTTCCGTTAGGAATCAAATCGTTCTTAAATCTGCATATTATAAAAATATAAAATGAATAATTTTAGAACAATATTAATACATTTTTTTTTTAAGTTTAAAATTTAAAAATCAGTTTTTTTGGCCTTTACCATTCTGTTTTTACAATATTTAGACCCTGTACACACTAGGCGTTTTTCAACGCGCGTTAAATGCCGAGCTAACACGCGTTAGCTCGGCGTTCGACGAGCGTTAGTTCGGTGTTTAGCACTGGCTCAGTTTGGAAATGGACGAGAAAGTAATTGATTGTGTGTGCTCCTCCATCGTCGCTATAAGGCAGCACATATATCTCAAAGCGCCCGTAAAGTGCCCGCAAAACGCGCGTTTTAACAAAAATCTATAAACGCGTGCTTGGCGTTTGAGTGTGTACGGCTACATAGAACTCTTGGTTTTTTAAAACGCGCATTTAACGCGCGTTGAAAAACGCCTAGTGTGTACAGGGCCTTAAATGTTGGACATTTTTAAAAGTCAAAACGTAAAAAGAAATAATATCTAAACAGAGTGAGTATTCATTACAGTAGTAGTATTAATTGTTTATTATTGTAATTTATGTAATAGTTTTTTAGCTAGTCTGTAAATGATATAACATTGTTTGGTGCATAATACATGTTATAATTCATTAGGAATGACTCAAAATTATGTTATTGTTTGAGGTACTTTGGGAAAGGTAATCTATTTTGTTATCTTGATATATTCAGTAATGATGGTCATTTATTCACTAAAGATTAGATAGATTTTAATGTTTTGATGTTACTTAAATAAGTAAATTTCTTTGAATTTTGCCCATTTATACTCGGTCTATTTATCTGTGTAACTTATTTATTATACAATAGAATCTGCTTATTGTAATTGTTATGAGACTATTGTATTACTATTCCATCTGTATTGATAATATCTGATAAATAATATAAATACAATAATAAAAGATTATCTGGTGGATAATATTATATTATTGTATTCATATTATTTATCAATAGTTTAATTTAATGTAAAAATATGAGATTTCTATTTGTCATTCTGATTGTTTTCTCAGTTCAGAAATGGGAGATGACAAATATTTACTCTATCAGAAATTTATTACATAAATTGTAGGATTGTGATATTGATGGATTAAGTAGCATTATTGGTATCAAAATGTCAAAAATATTTTTTATTATAAACTATTGATACAAAAAACTATCAGAATAATAACAAAAAAAGTTATATATTTATGAATAATATTTTGACAATTTTTTTGTAATACATGTCTCATAATAGATAATGCAAATGACTAATTACAAATGTAAGTATGATAATTTATCTACAGACAATTCTGTAATGAAATGATAAATTAAATTATCTACATACATTCTGGTTTTTCCAAAAGGTGTGGGTGATGACAAACTAAATTATTTAAGATAATTTTACAGGAGAAAGGAATTAAGAACCATAAATTTATATATTGATTAACTTTAAAAATTGCCATTAATTTATAGTTACAATATATTCTGAAAATTAAAATTTTTATTTTAAATTTAATTATTATACAAAAGATAGTATTTACAACAGGTACAGTAGCAGGTATAATAGACATCGGAACAGGATGGATGAGGTATCTGAAAGAAGGCGTATGTTTGGAAGCATTCTGGCTAAATAAAGAACAGTGTTGTTGGTCCTCTAACGAAACATCATATGAAGGTGATAAATGCTTATTGGTATGCATCTAATTGTAATCGTTCTTTGTAAATCATTTAAAAAAGAAAAATAATCTAAACAATTTCATTTTCTTTTTTAAATGGCTGATTTTTATATTATTAAAATATTCAAGTTTCCATTGAACAAATGATTTAGAAATAAGTCCTCGTCGTTCTATTCATTGATTTAACATGTTATTTTATTTTTTGTAATTTCATTGAAAATATGAGAAAATATCAGAATAATACTGAAAAATAAAAGATTATCATAAAATTTGATACCATTATTATTATAATAATAATAACTAAACGTTCAAATAACTTCAAAAACGTTTGAAATTCTTGACATTTCACATTCAAAACGATAGTAAACCTGAAGCAGATTCTGGGCAAAGAATTGAAAATGTTCGTTCATCTATTATGTTCAAACTGTACCAGAAATCTATAGGCTTAGAAGTGACACTTATTTGTACTAGTATTTTCTCTAGAAAGTGGTATAAACAAACAAACTTCTAAAGATATTGAAGTATTTAATTAAAAGCATTTTTAACTTTGGTTTATGTTATCTTCAGTTAATAGAATAACACAAACATGAAATGCAAAACAATTTTAGTCTAAAATAAAATACAGTGGGTGATCGGTTAATGAACATAATCCATTCCAAGATTTTGTTTGCTATCCGAATTGTTCATTAACCGGTTATTGATTTACCATAGGTATTTATGAGAATTTGATTAATTCGTTCTGGAGACTCCAAAAAATAAAAAAAATATATACTTTCTTACTATGTTTATTTATATGTAATAATAAAAATACATATATACACAGTCTTGCATTTTTATTAGTCATGTTTTTTCCATTTGTGGGGATTAAAGAATCTGTCTAACATCGATTGCTTTTCTCTCTTCAGGATTTTTCAGAAGTAATCAATAGCATTGTCATTGTAGAGATCACCAAGCCTATTAACCTCATTCTGGTTTGGATGCCATTTGGATGACCATTGTTCTGACATCCTCTCACTTCTTCAAAAGATCTTTAATAGCAGATGTCGGCATTGGTTCTCTTTCATCTTCTTTTTCAGAAGAATACACATCTCGCTGAGTTTCTTGGTGTCTTTGTTTAAGAGTTCTTGGAGTTCTGTCATCACATCAGTTTTAGGTTCCATTATGAGCTTTTCATTGCTCTTTATTTCTCAGATGTGATTTTTATACTCTTTTAACTACTTCAGTCTTCTTGATATATCTTTCTTAGCTAAGATTGTGCCTACTGTAGACCTGTTCAAGCCATACTGCCTAGCAACATCAGTCATCATCTGCCCACTCTCAACCTTGGCTATTATCTCTTGGTTTCTATGGTGATCATGGTTCTTGACACTCCACTCTTTTTATGCTCCATAATATTATCAATTTCTTTTTTAAATAAAAAGTCCAGAAAAGCACTTACAAAATTCAGAGAACAGAAATCAACTAGTGCACAAAAACGTGTAAATGTGAGACCCAGATGAAATTTGGTATTAAAATGTTAACAAATATCCGATGGGACAGTTAAACTCTCTCCTTTCGTAAATAAAAACTAATGCAAAACTTAATGACTACTATCCCGACAGTTTTGTGAAGATTAGTGTTTCAAAGTTCGGAGGAATACTATCCGATCGGTATAGGTTGAGCATTGATGTTGACGTCTTCAGAGCTCTGAAAGATTTTGCATTGTCCTCTGGAGACAAGGGAAAATCAATCAGTATTTGTTATTTTACGTCGCTTCTTTTTGTGTTTGTTCTGTGAAGTGTTCATTGTCCGAACATAAAAATCTTTTGCAAAAGTGTTCGCTATCTGATTTGTTCATAGTCCGAACTGTTTGTTAACCGATCACCCACTGTAATAAGAAAAATGTTTATTTAGGAAACAAAAACAAACATTTTTAATCAAACATTTTCATTCCTGTAAAAATGAACATAAAATGACAGACAAAAAATAAAATATTACCTGAATGTAGCATTTTTTTTATTATTTCAAATATGGTACCAAGTACAAATGATATTTTTGTTGATCAAGTCTATTCAGTATATTATTCTGTTAGCTGAATATTTCCTAAACATTTCTAATTAAATACTTATGGTAACCTCAACTTTAGAAGTTTGTTTGTTGTTGTTTAAATTATACTTTATTTGCAGTAATTAATTTCAATGTGAAGGAATGTAAAAATAATTCAAACTAGAATTTTGTAAAATATTTTTAGATGTTTGTCTAATATCAAATTTTATTGATAAATTTTTATTTATGTTGATATGAAAACTTGATTCTATGTACCTATCGTATAGGAATTGAGTTAAACTTTAATAATTTCATTAATTTAAATTTCCTTTCTGAGACATAGACAGTTTCAAGTCTTGGCACACCTATGTTACATGAAAATTGGCATACCTTACCATGGTTACCTTGGCATACCTTAGTTACATGAAAATTGGAAAGTTAGTGAAGAAAAGGAGTCTTTTAGTTTTGTGTTTGTAGCTTGAAATTAATACATACTATGATATGTGAATGGTTATATGAAAGAATAAGAATGAATAGAACAGACTGAGTTGTAAATAACTTTTTATGGTCTTCCAAGAAGAATGTTACCATTTTAAATTACTGTAATTGTTTGATATTACCTGAGAAGTATGAATTCACCAATCGATAAGAAGTTTGATAGATTTTAATGTTTTGGTGTTACTTAAGATTTGATAGATATTATAGATGTCAGACAGCAGTAGATGAAACTATTTGAGTTTCATCTACTGCTGTCACATCTACTGCTAAACATCTTTTTGCCTACTGCCTCTAGTAAGCATTGTAAGCAAAAATGGCAATTCACTGACAGAGAAGGCGTTTTGTGTTCTGCAGTTCACAAAGTCTGAATCAGTCGTCATTGTATAATAAGAATGTTTGCCTTATGTAGTGGATCAATTTGAAATTGTATATGAAACTAAGAAAGTTGTCAAAAATCATGTTGTGCAATGATGATCGATTCCAACTTTTTGAACAATTCTGCTGTTCGAAACTTCTCTGTCGTGGAATTTCCATTTTCGTCTACAGCACTTTTTAGAGGTGGTAGACAAAAGGATGTATGTATGCAGATGGTAGATGAAACTCAAACAATTATGCTATTGATTGGTGAACAGTGCATACTTTTCAGATTATACTTAACATAATTACAATAATTTAAAGATGATAAAATGATAGCATTCTTTTTCGAAGATTACGTGTGTGTAGCTACAACATATATGTCATAGCTATTTGCTGAAATTTGCCATTTGAAGAAGTGTCTAGTCATTTCTTGAATGCTAACACATCCCATAATAAACATTTATTTCATAATCTGTCTAATTTTTTTGGTCACATCTTGAAATGCTGTTAACCTGGTTTCTGCAGATGTTGAAACCAGGTTAATGGCATCTGTTTCAGGTGTTTCAGCTTCTGTCTAATGAAACTAGGCAATTTGAGTAACATCTAACTGCTTATTAGCACATGATATAAAAGGAACCAGTTGAATGTTTCTGCATGTTTTTATGCTTTAGTTTCTCAAATGAAATTATTTGATAAAAAATATACTTTTTAAATTAATACATATCAATTATAACAGAATAATTTTAGTAAATAATTATTTTTTATTAACCTAATAAGACAACATTTATATATTATTTTTAATATTTAATGGCTGTAAAGTGTAAATGAAATAAAATATAGAAGAAACTTAAAACTATTAATACTTTTCATTCACCGAAGAAGTTTCAAATTATTTCAAATTCCTCCCAAAAATTTCTTTTGGCTACGTTAATTGGATATTTTATAACAAAAAATAAACTGTCACACGATTAAGCACTACTCAAATGTTAAACAGTACGTGACAGTTGTTTTTATACTGTTTGTATTTGTAGTAATTTCAGTTGCAAATATAAAATAAATCCTCAAGCTAGCAACAAAGTAGTGTTAGCAACACTTGGCATAATTTTATTTTCTAATGTTGGCAGCTTTGTGCATTGTTGTAACTACTATACAGATTCAGTGCTGGAAGTACAATGGTCGAATAGCCAAGACTGTTAAGGCATTAGCTTGGGTCATTGCTTTTAAAGATTGCCATTCTATTTTAACACGTTGTCAAAGCTTTCTGACAAAGAAAGTTTGAAAACATTCATTAGTAATTACTAGTTAACCTCTTTAAAGTGAGTTGGTTGTAAATAAAAAACTAATACAAGTACTGTACATGGCCGGCATTATTCACATTTAATAAATATAAAATACATAAATACAACTTTACAAAGATAAAACTTTTCATGTTGTCCTTCCTTTTTGCCTTTTTGTAATATAATAGTCTTGTTGAGGCAGAGCATTAATGAAGCCTCTTCTATGTGGCATATAGAATTGTGTTTGTTCTCAAAATCTGTTTGATTGATTTTTATTAAACTTTACCATTTTCCATTAATTGATGATGATAANGGGCCATTATGTTTTTTTTATTTAAAATTTACTACAAAAATTTATAAATTACTTTCCTAATTCAAACAACAATTCGTATTAAAATGTGAAAAATTAGGAATGACATTTTAGTACATTCATCTGTCGGTATCTGGTATACAAATGTGTTGAGGTATTCGAGAAAAGTATGTTATAAACAAATTAAATTTTTTAAACAATATTCAATTATTAGCCTAATTCATTTAGATGTAATTCTTAAAAAGTTCCATTTTTCTATGGCAGTTGTGATAATTGGTTATCTCAAATGTTTATAAGGAAGAGGGCAAAAGATTTTACATTTATTATTATTATTAATTATGTTAGTGTCACAACCCCTAGGGTTAAGTAAGCTTCATAAATTAGTTTTGCATAACTGACGATACAAACATTCAAAATAAAACATTTAATAAGCACTTTCACTTGTTACGCTCGAGCTTCAGAATATTTGAAAGAAGTTTGAGCTTAACAAATGAAAGTGTTTATTAAATGTTTTATTTTTAATTTGTGCATTGTCGGTTATGCGAAACTAATTTATGAAAGTTACATGATTATATGGTGTCATTTTTGACAGAATCTATGTAGTCTGTTATCAAGAGTATTTTATTTCAGAAGTAATCTACATATAAAAATAAATGTTTGGCTGCACGTTAGCATTTCTTGTGAAAACAAGCCTAGTCGCTAATGATCGGAAAGTAATCTTTGGTCTAATTGGTGTATTTCTGTACTCAATGAATTTGATAATACTGCCCTGCAGAATAATTCACCAATAGAACTCTTCTAATTTCTGTTCTAATTTTATGTGATTAAGGCTACTAATACTTATGGATGTCTCAATAACTGGCAAAGGAAGATACTTCATTATTTAAGAATCAAAATATAGTTTTATACCAATGAAATAGAAATGAAATCATATCTAATTTGTTGTTATTCACTCTGATTTTAGAGATTTGTGATATCATTAGATAACTTTATAAAATAGACAAAACACTTGTATGTCGGTTCTAAATCACGTAGATAATCAGCTTTCCAGTTTTGAACATTACAATTATGTAGTGTTCAAAACTGGAATTTACTTTTTAAATAAAACACTATTTATTTATTTTTACAATTTATTAATAAAAAATTAGGGAACTAAGAATTGTTAATGTATATAATTTATCGATAATGATCATTTTAACATGAGTGAAATTCAATTTTGTTGCAGTGGTATTCTTGGCCCGAAGTTTTTGGTATTAATACTAACAATGAAGTAGCCGAATATATATTTTCGTATTTCATCTACATCGTAATTAGTATATGTCTCGCCGGTCTATCTGCCTTACTAGTGAGGATGTTTGCGCCATACGCATGTGGATCAGGTATTCCAGAAGTAAGACTGTTATTCTTATTATAGTATTACGTATTAATAAAATATGAAAAATGATTATCTGTATTAGCTACTTAATAAAATCATAGCTTTATTAGAAGCATTGTTTGATTACTTTTCTAAGTGCTAAAATTAAGATTTAAGATTTTATGCATTCAAAACAAGAAATAATTTATTTTCAAAAGTTTTCTGTTCTGTAAGATTAAAAGTACTACAGATTTATACTTGATAAATTGCATGATTAAATTTTTATGTATATGCAAGTTTAATGATTAAAAACACTGCATGCCACTCATACATTAAGATTTATTTTTTTCTTTACTCCAATACATTAAGATTTAATTTTTTTTTTTATAACTTATGCTGTGAAATGTGAAAACAGGTTCTCTCACCCAACAAAGGACTCTTAAAGTGGTTGAAAGCATTTGTGCTTCCATTAAATCGTAATCTACTGAAGTAGGTATGAGTGGTATGCAGTGTTTTTAATCAGCAGTTCCAGCTTTTCAGAATGTTTAGTTTAATGAGTGGCTTTAAAACTGAAAAATATTTTAAAAAACACTTATTCTTTATTTTAAAACATATACATTTTCTTAATAGATAAAAACTATTTTAAGTGGCTTCATCATTCGTGGTTATCTAGGAAAGTGGACTTTGGTAATCAAATCGGTAGGCCTGATGCTGGCAGTCGGTTCGGGTCTCAGTCTCGGAAAAGAGGGTCCACTGGTACACGTCGCCTGTTGCATCGGCAATTTATTTTCGTACTTTTTTACAAAATATGGAGATAACGAGGCTAAAAAGAGAGAAGTAAGTATTATTTTTTTGTGTTTAATATCTACAGAAATCTTAATAGAAAATGTTATTGATTACTTCTACATTTATACATTACATAACTATTTTATAAGTATTATGTTAATAAATAAAATTATTTAATATTTATTAAAATTGAAATCTAAGAAAACTAACTGTACAATTTTCAAAACATGTATAATCATTTAATATTAACATGGTTAGAGATGTCTTTGAAACTAAAAAATTTTTTATTAAATAATTTAGGAAATGATAATGCCTAATTACTGATTTTTAATTAAGATTTTAAAATTATTTAAATTTTGGAATGAATTAATGTTGAATCGTTTGTTGTTTAAGCAGTGGTCACAATTTGCTCTTTTTGGCCACGTGGACAATTGCGACTGCAGTGGCTAAAAGTTTTACAACCCAATTGGGAGATGCTCGAGANCTACCCGAAAATGCGCGATCGAATGTACAGTAACATGGCAGCACCTATATCTCAAAGTGCTCGGCTGATGCCCGCAAAACGCGCGTTTTAACAAAAATCTATAAACGCGTGCTTGGCGTTTGAGTGTGTACGGCTACATAGAACTCTTGGTTTTTTAAAACGCGCATTTAACGCGCGTTGAAAAACGCCTAGTGTGTACAGGGTCTTAAACGCGCGTTAAACGTTCGTTTAAAAGCGCGCGTTTAACGCGCGTTGAAAAACGCCTAGTGTGTACAGGGCCTTAAATGTTGGACATTTTTAAAAGTCAAAACGTAAAAAGAAATAATATCTAAACAGAGTGAGTATTCATTACAGTAGTAGTATTAATTGTTTATTATTGTAATTTATGTAATAGTTTTTTAGCTAGTCTGTAAATGATATAACATTGTTTGGTGCATAATACATGTTATAATTCATTAGGAATGACTCAAAATTATGTTATTGTTTGAGGTACTTTGGGAAAGGTCATCTATTTTGTTATCTTGATATATTCAGTAATGATGGTCATTTATTCACTAAAGATTAGATAGATTTTAATGTTTTGATGTTACTTAAATAAGTAAATTTCTTTGAATTTTGCCCATTTATACTCGGTCTATTTATCTGTGTAACTTATTTATTATACAATAGAATCTGCTTATTGTAATTGTTATGAGACTATTGTATTACTATTCCATCTGTATTGATAATATCTGATAAATAATATAAATACAATAATAAAAGATTATCTGGTGGATAATATTATATTATTGTATTCATATTATTTATCAATAGTTTAATTTAATGTAAAAATATGAGATTTCTATTTGTCATTCTGATTGTTTTCTCAGTTCAGAAATGGGAGATGACAAATATTTACTCTATCAGAAATTTATTACATAAATTGTAGGATTGTGATATTGATGGATTAAGTAGCATTATTGGTATCAAAATGTCAAAAATATTTTTTATTATAAACTATTGATACAAAAAACTATCAGAATAATAACAAAAAAAGTTATATATTTATGAATAATATTTTGACAATTTTTTTGTAATACATGTCTCATAATAGATAATGCAAATGACTAATTACAAATGTAAGTATGATAATTTATCTACAGACAATTCTGTAATGAAATGATAAATTAAATTATCTACATACATTCTGGTTTTTCCAAAAGGTGTGGGTGATGACAAACTAAATTATTTAAGATAATTTTACAGGAGAAAGGAATTAAGAACCATAAATTTATATATTGATTAACTTTAAAAATTGCCATTAATTTATAGTTACAATATATTCTGAAAATTAAAATTTTTATTTTAAATTTAATTATTATACAAAAGATAGTATTTACAACAGGTACAGTAGCAGGTATAATAGACATCGGAACAGGATGGATGAGGTATCTGAAAGAAGGCGTATGTTTGGAAGCATTCTGGCTAAATAAAGAACAGTGTTGTTGGTCCTCTAACGAAACATCATATGAAGGTGATAAATGCTTATTGGTATGCATCTAATTGTAATCGTTCTTTGTAAATCATTTAAAAAAGAAAAATAATCTAAACAATTTCATTTTCTTTTTTAAATGGCTGATTTTTATATTATTAAAATATTCAAGTTTCCATTGAACAAATGATTTAGAAATAAGTCCTCGTCGTTCTATTCATTGATTTAACATGTTATTTTATTTTTTGTAATTTCATTGAAAATATGAGAAAATATCAGAATAATACTGAAAAATAAAAGATTATCATAAAATTTGATACCATTATTATTATAATAATAATAACTAAACGTTCAAATAACTTCAAAAACGTTTGAAATTCTTGACATTTCACATTCAAAACGATAGTAAACCTGAAGCAGATTCTGGGCAAAGAATTGAAAATGTTCGTTCATCTATTATGTTCAAACTGTACCAGAAATCTATAGGCTTAGAAGTGACACTTATTTGTACTAGTATTTTCTCTAGAAAGTGGTATAAACAAACAAACTTCTAAAGATATTGAAGTATTTAATTAAAAGCATTTTTAACTTTGGTTTATGTTATCTTCAGTTAATAGAATAACACAAACATGAAATGCAAAACAATTTTAGTCTAAAATAAAATACAGTGGGTGATCGGTTAATGAACATAATCCATTCCAAGATTTTGTTTGCTATCCGAATTGTTCATTAACCGGTTATTGATTTACCATAGGTATTTATGGGAATTTGATTAATTCGTTCTGGAGACTCCAAAAAATAAAAAAAAATATATACTTTCTTACTATGTTTATTTATATGTAATAATAAAAATACATATATACACAGTCTTGCATTTTTATTAGTCATGTTTTTTCCATTTGTGGGGATTAAAGAATCTGTCTAACATCGATTGCTTTTCTCTCTTCAGGATTTTTCAGAAGTAATCAATAGCATTGTCATTGTAGAGATCACCAAGCCTATTAACCTCATTCTGGTTTGGATGCCATTTGGATGACCATTGTTCTGACATCCTCTCACTTCTTCAAAAGATCTTTAATAGCAGATGTCGGCATTGGTTCTCTTTCATCTTCTTTTTCAGAAGAATACACATCTCGCTGAGTTTCTTGGTGTCTTTGTTTAAGAGTTCTTGGAGTTCTGTCATCACATCAGTTTTAGGTTCCATTATGAGCTTTTCATTGCTCTTTATTTCTCAGATGTGATTTTTATACTCTTTTAACTACTTCAGTCTTCTTGATATATCTTTCTTAGCTAAGATTGTGCCTACTGTAGACCTGTTCAAGCCATACTGCCTAGCAACATCAGTCATCATCTGCCCACTCTCAACCTTGGCTATTATCTCTTGGTTTCTATGGTGATCATGGTTCTTGACACTCCACTCTTTTTATGCTCCATAATATTATCAATTTCTTTTTTAAATAAAAAGTCCAGAAAAGCACTTACAAAATTCAGAGAACAGAAATCAACTAGTGCACAAAAACGTGTAAATGTGAGACCCAGATGAAATTTGGTATTAAAATGTTAACAAATATCCGATGAGACAGTTAAACTCTCTCCTTTCGTAAATAAAAACTAATGCAAAACTTAATGACTACTATCCCGACAGTTTTGTGAAGATTAGTGTTTCAAAGTTCGGAGGAATACTATCCGATCGGTATAGGGTTCAGTGCCGATGTTGATGTCTCCCGCGCTCCGAAAGGTTTCGAATTGTTACCTGAAGACAAGGGAAAATCAATCGGTATTCGTTATTTTCCGTCGCTTCTTTTTATGTTTGTTCAGTAAA